GAGGTGGTCAAACAGGAGATGGCAAGAATAAACATCGACATCCTGGGCATCAGTGAACTAAAATGGACAGGAATGGGCGAATTCAGCTCAGATGATTATCATATCTACTACTGTGGGTAAGAATCCCATAGAAGGAATGGAGTAGCCCTCATAGTCAACAAAAGAGTGGGAAAAGCTGTAATGGGATACAATCTCAAAAATGATAGAATGATGTCAATACGAATCCAAGGCAGACCATTCAACATCACAATAATCCAAGTTTATGCACCAACCAGCATTGCTGAGGAGACTGAAATTGAACAATTCTATGAAGATTTACAACACCTTCTAGAACTGACACCAAAGAAAGATGTTCTTCTCATTCTAGGGGACTGGAATGCAAAAGTAGGGAGCCAAGAGATAAAAGGAACAACAGGGAAGTTTGGCCATGGAGTTCAGAACGAAGCAGGACAAAGACTAATAGAGTTTTGTCAAGAGAATAAGCTGGTCATCACAAACACTCTTTTCCAACAACACAAGAGGCGACTCTATACATGGAAATCACCAGATGGGCAATATCGAAATCAGATTGATTATATTCTCTGCAGCCAAAGATGGAGAAGCTCTATACAGTCAGCAAAAACAAGACCTGGAGCTGACTGCGGCTCTGATCATCAGCTTCTCATAGCAAAATTCAAGCTTAGACTGAAGAGAGTAGGAAAAACCACTGGGCCACTCAGGTATAATCTAAACCAAATCCCTTATGAATACACAGTGGAAGTAAAGAACAGATTTAAGGAACTAGATTTGGTGGACAGAGTGCCTGAAGAACTTTGGATAGAGGCTCGTAACATTGTCCAAGAGGCAGCAACGAAAACCATCCCAAAGAAAAGGAAATGCAAGAAAGCAAAGTGGCTGTCCAACGAGGCCTTAGAAATAGCAGAGAGGAGAAGGGAAGCAAAATGCAAGGGAGATAGGGAAAGTTACAGAAAATTGAATGCAGACTTCCAAAGAATAGCAAGGAGAGACAAGAGGGCCTTCTTAAATGAACAATGCAAAGAAATAGAGGAAGATAACAGAAAAGGAAAGACCAGAGAGCTCTTCAGGAAAATTGGAGATATTAGAGGAACATTTTGCGCAAAGATGAACATGATAAAAGACAAAAATGGGAAGGACCTAACAGAAGCAGAAGACGTCAAGAAGAGGTGGCAAGAATACACAGAGGAATTATATCAGAAAGATGTGGATATCCCGGACAACCCAGACAATGTAGTTGCTGACCTTGAGCCAGACATCCTGGAGAGCGAAGTCAAGTGGGCCTTAGAAAGCCTGGCTAACAACAAGGCCAGTGGAGGTGATGGCATTCCAATTGAACTATTTAAAATCTTGAAAGATGATGCTGTTAAGGTGCTACATTCAATATGCCAGCAAGTTTGGAAAACTCAACAGTGGCCAGAGGATTGGAAAAGATCAGTCTACATCCCAATCCCAAAGAAAGGCAGTGCCAAAGAATGCTCCAACTACCGTACAATTGCACTCATTTCACACGCTAGCAAGGTTATGCTCAAAATCCTACAAGGTAGGCTTCAGCAGTATGTGGACCGAGAACTCCCAGAAGTACAAGCTGGATTCCGAAGAGGCAGAGGAACTCGAGACCAAATTGCTAACTTGCGCTGGATTATGGAGAAAGCCAGAGAGTTCCAGAAAAATATCTACTTCTGCTTCATTGACTATGCAAAAGCCTTTGACTGTGTGGACCACAGCAAACTATGGCAAGTTCTTAAAGAAATGGGAGTGCCTGACCACCTTATCCATCTCCTGAGAAACCTATATGTGGGACAGGAAGCAACAGTTAGAACTGGTCATGGAACAACTGAGTGGTTCAAAATTGGGAAAGGAGTACGGCAAGGCTGTATATTGTCCCCCAGCTTATTTAACTTATATGCAGAATACATCATGCGGAAGGCTGGACTGGAAGAAACCCAAGCCGGAATTAAGATTGCCGGAAGAAATATCAACAACCTCCGATATGCAGATGATACCACTCTGATGGCAGAAAGTGAGGAGGAATTAAAGAACCTTGTAATGAGAGTGAAAGAGGAGAGTGCAAAAAACGGTCTGAAACTCAACATCAAAAAAACTAAGATCATGGCCACTGGTCCCATCACCTCCTGGGAAATAGAAGGGGAAGATATGGAGGCAGTGTCAAATTTTATCTTCCTGGGCTCCATGATCACTGCAGATGGAGACAGCAGCCCTGAAATTAAAAGACGCCTTCTTCTTGGGAGGAAAGCGATGACAAATCTTGACAGCATCTTGAAAAGCAGAAACATCACCTTGCCAACAAAAGTCCGAATAGTCAAAGCTATGGTTTTTCCTGTCATGATGTATGGAAGTGAGAGCTGGACCATAAAGAAAGCAGACCGCCGAAGAATTGATGCCTTTGAATTGTGGTGCGGGAGGAGGCTCTTGAGAATCCCCTGGACTGCAAGGAGAACAAACCTATCAGTTCTAAAGGAAATCAACCCTGAATGCTCACTTGAAGGACAGATCCTGAAGCTGAGGCTCCAGTACTTTGGCCATCTCATGAGAAGAAAAGAGTCCTTGGAAAAAACCTTGATGTTAGGAAGGTGTGATGGCAAGAGGAGAAGGGGACGACCAAGGATGAGAGGGCTGGACAGTGTCTGCGAAGCAACCAACATGAACCTGACACAACTCCGGGAGGCAGTAGAAGACAGGAGGGCCTGGCCTGGTCTGGTCCATGGGGTCACGAAGAGTCGGACACGACTAAACGACTAAACACACACACACACAAGCTGCCTTGAGCAGTAATTTAGGGTAAAAGTTAGAGTATAAATGTCATAAATTAAATAATATAATCATAAACAATGCAGTTACCCCACTGCAGACTAGATTGTAAAGTCCAAAATCTTACCACCTCGATCTGCCTGGTGGCTGCTTGTAGCTGTTGAACCAGCCTTGGTTGCCTGATTTAAAACAACAATTAAGCCTCAGTGTCAACTGCTTTAAAAATGCAGATCTTTATGTAAAGGTCTATGTGTATGCTGTCTGGGTGAGCATCTTATGCTCCCTGTGCCTGAGTGTTTCTACAGTATAATGGGAGTAACAGTGCTGCAGCAGTACGTGCCCCACGCATTGATGCTGAGTGGTGATTTCTTTTTGGTTGGATGCTACAAAGGCACCCAAGGGGGCTTGGTGTTTAGTGGGCGTTCTTTTTCACTAACCAGAAACAAATAAGGTTTCCTACAATGAATTTGGTTTATGCCTTCCAGATGAGTCTGAGGGCCAAACTGTATCTTACAGATAGCATGTTGTTAGAAGCAGAAATCACATTCCAATGATATGATTCCAATGTCTGAGCAATCATACTTGCAGTGCAGCCTGTGTTTACCTCCTGATGGCCAGTCACTGAATGAAGCAAGGTAAGTTGCAAGCTACAAGAAGTGTGTCAACTATATATGCCAATCATATCATATCATATCATATTACAGCATTTGATGGATTTCCTTTCTTAATGGCGTGCTGTATTGTGTAGTTTGACCCGCACTAACAGGGTATGTCAGTTACAATGATAGTTAATTCGGATGGGTAATATTTTTGTTACAAAGTGCAAATGATTTACAGTTGAAACTGAAAAAAAATTTCTAAATTCCTAACTGACATTTTTCCTTCTGATGACAACCACTCACTTGTCCTGGGCAAAGTACCAAGGCAGTCTGTTGCTATGTAGGCCAGGGATTCCAACCAATTTCCAGTGGTAATTGTGTATTCGGTTTACTTTTGCTGGGTTATACGAAAAGCCCTTGTGTGTAATGATGACGCCTTGGTTTGTTGTGATTTCAGAGCTGGGATCCAGAACTGGAAGCCTTTGCCAAAGACTATGCAACAAAATGCATCTGGGAACACAATAAGGAACGAGGCCAGCGAGGCGAGAATCTTTTTGCCATGTCTGGAGACCTGGATGTGACACTTGTTGTGGAAAATTGGTACAATGAGTACCAGTATTATAATATCAGCACATTAGCTTGTGAAGAGGATCAGATGTGTGGTCACTATACACAGGTATCCAGTTATATCATTATGGGAGCTCTGGGCAAAGCCTAGAGCCATTGTTTTGCTCTGATCCGTTGTTAAAAGGAACAGAAACCATGGTAATTGACAGCAGAGAATTATAAAGGGTATTCTATGGTTAAACATCTTCCTCTGATCTCGTGGCTTCAGCATATATGTCATTCCCATAATCTCATGGAAAGTGCCAACAAACTCTTAGACCACAGAAAATAAAATTGTTAATGATGTACTAGTGCTAACTGTGTAATCCCTGGTTTTCATGCAGTGGATAGTTTTCCTTATAAATTGGCTCCTGACATCACTGTTCTTGCTCTGGGGGAAGGAGTTTTTCTTTTCAAAACAGCATGGGTGTAAACATCTGGGTATTTGTTTTAACTTTTCCCAAAGAAAAATCCCTCCACCAGGGATTAAACCCCACTAGAGATGGGCATGAACCAGAAAATTGCTAGTTCATAATGGCTACCCACGAACCATGAACCATCATGAACTCCACAAAAAACTAACCAGTTCTCAGTTTGTTTTTCGGATTTGTGCCGGGGAGGAACACCTTGTCTTGCCGCTGCCTCCATAAGCGCCACCATTGTCAGAGACAGCAGGCTGGCTTCCCTCTCAGGAGCCAGGACTGCTGCCTTTGCACATGTGCCCACTGCCCATCTGTGGGCACATTGTCTCTGATGATGGTGGCGGCGGCGGAGGAGAAGGCAGGACCAGGTAGGGAGGTCATGGGGGAAGGGGATGGTTGGACATCCATTTTGTTGAAGCAAAACAAAGCGGGGGGCAGGGGCGGGGCGGGGGACGGAATTGGCGCTTTGTTTTACCTCAGCAAAACAGAATGCATGAAGTGGGTCATGAACCAATCTATGAACCAACTTGGTTTGTCATTTTTTTCCTGGTTCTTGGTACAGTTTGTGCCCATCTATAAATACCACCAACCACGTCACTATGTTCACAACTCTGCATAAGGTGAGAGAATTGTAAAGTCTCTTCCAACCTGATGCCACTAGAAATACTGGCCTGTTCATTGGCAGGACTTGCTGGGGATGAGGGAGTTGTACTTGAATGCATCCAGAGGGCCCCAGCCAGTTTGGGACAGGCTGCAAGAGTGCTGTGTTAATTCAACACAGAAACGGCAATAGGGCAACAATCGCAGCAAATAAATATTTAGAAACAAAACATTTGACTAGGGATACAGTGGGGTCTTGACTTGAGAACTTAATCCATATTGGAAGGCGGTTCTCAAGTCAAAAAGTCTGTAAGTCAAGTCTCCATTGACCTACAGTGCATTGAAAACCGATTAATCCCATAACAGGCCGTTTTTGTTCCATTTTGGTTTTTTTCTGGTCTGTAAGTCAAATCTCAGTCTGCAAGTCAAACCTAAATTTTGTGGCCAGAGAAGTCTGTAACTCAAAAAGTCTGTAAGTCAAGCCGTCTGTAAGTCAAGGGTCCATTGTAGTTAAAACCAGGAACACAATGATTCCGGAGAAATACCCAGTTGTTCTGAAATTCAAAATCAAAGATGAGAAGTTCTACAGTTCAGGCATGTATAGATTCTATACATGAACAAGGACCATGGAAAAACTGTTTTCTTGCTTGCTTGCCTATAGAGCATAAACACAAGCAGGGCCCTTCTCCTCTTAAGACTCATCCCTGCTCATGTGAGCAAGTGACAAGGGCAGATGGTATAGCTGACCTCTTTTCTTTCGGTCTGTTGATGACTCCAGATTCTGGAATGACTGGATAGAGATAACTGTCTGAGTCCTCAGGAATGTTTGATTGAACAAATGGTGTTAGAGTCAAAATAAAAGGCTATGGCATCAGTGATTTCCCCCCCTTTTTTGGAATAACCAACAGGACTTGGTTTTCCCCCTGCTCCCATAGGTGGTCTGGGCAAGGAGCGAGCGTGTTGGCTGTGGGACAGTATTCTGTAAAACACTGGAAAATCTGAATGACACCGACATGCATTTGGTAGTCTGCAACTATAAGCCCCCGTAAGTTCACCCCTTGTTTTGCTAAAATCAGGTATATTTCAACTTTGAAAGAGAATATTTGTCATACAGGAGGCTGCATTCTCCCAGGTCAAACTGATGGTTTGTGTAGTCCACTCCAGCTGCTTTTCCCACCCTGTGCTCTCCAGATGCATCAGTCTAGAGTATCATCATCTCCAAACCCAAACTGGGAAACTTCTCTGACTAAGCAATCGTATCTGCAATTGAAGCTCCTGGTCCTGTCCAGAAGACCCATCACAAAAGGAAGCAAACAAACTTGAAAACCATGGGAGGCATAAAAAGCTCCTGGGATACTCTGATGTTTTCAGCAGTTAAGGATTTGTCTCCTCAAATGTCAAGCTATTTGTAATGTACAGGTTGACCTTCAATGTGGCTACCTTGATTGGTTCTTGGTATGTGTCTATTATGCTAGCAACCTCTGAATTAAGAACTAACACAGAGGCTGCGTATTTAAATAAATCTGTGAGAGGGAGATGAGGGAAGGCAGCAACAGGGCTAGCTGTTGCAAAACTGGCCACAGGGGCAGGAGGAAGGTGAGATGGGGTGGTGGGGCCCTTGGGGAGAGTTACCCAACTTGTTGTCCCTGGTATCCTGTTGCCTGAGGCAACTGACTCGTTCAGCTTAATGTTTATATAAACTTCCCAGAATAGTGCTGTGAACTTATGGGGTGGTATATAAGTCCCAGAAATAAATGAAAAAAAATAAATAAATAACTAGGACTGGCCCTGTTCAGCAGTCTTCGTCTCTAACAGGCATAGAACGTTTGTAAAGATAGTGGATCTTAATTGGCCACTCAAGCCCAAGCCAGCTCAGAATGGTTACCTTTACAGTAGGGATAGTTCACATCAATAGAGCATACAAGTGCTTGGCCTTGGTGAGAACTGAGAACTTAGTGAGAACTAAGCGTCTGGATCCTGAGATGGGTGGTGGGAATCATGCCTGCTTATCTAGAAGTTCCTTCCTACACATGCACTCTGTGAACCCTGGCTCCTCTATGCACAAGGGAGTGAATGGAAAATCTGGAATTGAAGAAAAAATAAGGGAGAAGCAGTGGCAACCTCACCAAGTAGAGGAAAAATAACTTCTTGCCTTCTTCCGAATACTTTCTCTGTGTAGAAGCCCAGGTACCAAATGAATATTTTAAAAAACTATAAGGATACTCGGTTGGCTAGTCAGTCGTATCCTCATGCACTTGGGTTGGCCAAATTCTATTTCTTGGATACAGCTGGCAGATAATTAGTTATACGTATGATGAAAAGGAGTCTGCTCAACCAAAAGTTTTTCTTTTCTAGGGAAATGCCTTGCTCCTGTGAGTCATGTATGTGTTCTTTTAACCTCTAGGGGAAATGTAAAAGGACATAAACCGTATAAGGAAGGAGAGCCATGTTCCATGTGCCCAGAAGGCTACTCCTGTAAGGACTCTCTTTGTGGTAAGTGTATGGAGCCAGAGGAGTAGCTCTTCTCATGTGAGAGCACATGAAGTAAAGAGAGCACTTTCTTAACCCCCAGATTACTGTCTCTTCCAAGACTAAAGACTCAATTAGCAATGGTTTCAGGGTTCAGAATTTCCAGCTGCAAAATTGGAACTGGAGTGATTGCAGGGGCTATGCAAACAAATGTAGGTGGTGTTTTGCTCCCAGTGCAAATATATTATGGGATGGCAGGGAGAGTCCCATGTTCTACAATGACTTATTTAGCATATGGGTAGCCATTGGATAGATGTTCATCAACCAGTGATTGTGGGCACTTCTCTGTTTTCCACCAGCATCCAGTGCTGATGAAGAAGAAACTACAGCATCCCCTGAGCCCACAGGACTGGAACCAACTGCCATCTTGACTGTGAGCCCAGCTGCTGAAGAAGATACCACAATGAGTTCAGCATTAGGCCCATCAGAAAGTCCCCAGATTGGCACAGAAGCAGAGTCTGAATCCCACACAGATCGAGGGCCAACAGTAGACCAGGAACTTCATTCATCTCGGGAGCTCCAGACGAACTCCCCAGAGGAGCTGACTCCCAGTCCTGTTACCCCAGAAATGGGAACCAAACAAACCACAAGCTCAGATGTTCCCTCAGCTGATGACTTAACCACACCCCAAGCCACCATGGACAGTTTGGTGCAGGTTCTTACTACCACTGTGCCGGTGCGCCCTGTCCCCAAGTCACCATCAACCCCTCGTCCACACTCTGCCCCCAAACCACCAACCGTCCCTAAACCGCCTCCCACAATTAAGTCTCCCTTCCTTAAGCCTCCTTCTTTCCTTAAGCCTCCCGCTTACCCTAAGGCTCCCACTGTCCCAAAGAAGCCCCCTATCTCTAAAACGCCTGCCCGCCATCGTCTGGCAGCTTATTCAAAAGCAATAAAGAGGCAGAACAATGCTGTTCAATCTTCTGCAGGCAAGGCTGAGTCCATGTCTGTCTGCCTGCCCTGTCTGGGATGTAAACAGATCAGCCATCCCACAGAAATAAAGGCTGCGCTCAAGGAGCTGACCTTCAGGTACCCCTATGCTCCTTGTTTCTCCTCCATTCCCCACTGGCAGAGCCATGCCAAGTGCAGCTGGTGTGGGCGCACGTGGGGCAATGCCCTTAGGAAGGCCAGGCCTTATTGGCTCAACAGTTTATAGCAATATAAACACTTCATCACAATATTTATATAGAGAGCCCTCCATCTTCTCTTTTATGCTTGCATGTCACGTGTGTGTCCACATGCAGGGTTGTATATTTTCCTGTCTGCACTTTCATGAGAGTGCCAATCTGTGGAGAACAACGCCATAGTATGCCCAAAGGTCAGACGTCTTGTAGACCAAGGTTCAAAACTCATCCCAACAACAGGGCTTGCTATGATTCAGCAAAGTTCAGATGGAAAGTGTGGTTTATTTCTATAGCCCTCCCCCATTGTTTTTCGGAGTACAGGAATGTGGGGTCTGTTTGGTTTCCTCTTCTGTTTCTCCTCCCCATAAACTTTGCTAGGGTCAAATTGTAGTAAAAGCAGAACCCAGACATGTAAGACTGTCATGGAGACCAATACCACCAGTAAGAAGTGGAAATTATACACTTCACCCACACCTTCTTTACCTGATGAGGACTGTTCTTATTCATGGGGCTATGCTTGCATGCCATTCCTATACCTACCATTCTACCTGTGAGTTAAGAGTAAAGAATTTCATGTCCTTACTGTCTTTGTGCCACTCTCAACCCCTTTTTTGTTCAAAGTGCTGGATTATGTAAGAACCTGGGTCTAGAAAGCAAATCAAATTATACATGATCTGTAAACACAAACAGCTCTGCTGAGTTTCTTTTGATTATGCCGGAAGATGAATCTGTGTTGTCTTGATACCAACTGAGAAGTTTGTGGCCCAGAATAAAAATGGCTTCATCTGGAATAAGAATGGCTTTATCAATGGAGGTGATAATTGTTCACTTCAATTGGGAAAGCAAAGCAAAAACGGAGGTGGCCTGACTTGAAAGGGCGGGTACAGAGAAAATGAATGGCTAATTAGAGCTGATGTGAGTCCCTATAGAAACACAGTTGCAAGAGCTTCACCTGTCAATAAATAAATAATGGGTATGTGGATGGATAGCAAATATTTGTGCAGGAGAGCCAGAGGTGTATGCGAGTTCAGTTCTACCCATTATAATGAGGGTTTCATCCCATCAGATCTCTTAATTTACCATGATTATTTTCACAGCAGGTTAATAATGATGAGCTAGCTATTCTTCTGTCCATGCCATCTACTTATCTAAAGTGTTAACCCTTTTCTACACCATTGCCTTCCTCCTTCCCATACTTGTTGTTTAGTTGTTAAGTTGTGTCCGACTCTTCATGACCCCATGGACCAGAGCATGCCAGGCCCTCTTGTCTTCCACTGCCTCCCGGAGTTTGGTCAAATTCATGTTGGTTGCTTTGCAGACACTGTCCAGCCATCTCGTCCTCTGCCGTCCCCTTCTCCTCTTGCCATCACACTTTCCCAACGTCAGGGTCTTTTCCAGGGAGATTTCTCTTCTCATGAGATGGCCAAAGTATTGGAGCCTCAGCTTCGGGATCTGTCCTTCGAGTGATGACTCAGGGTTGATTTCCTTCAAAATGGATAGGTTTGTTCTCTTTGCAGTCCAGGGGATCCTTCTCATACTACTTCATGATAATTCAGATGGCTTGCCTGCATTTCCCCGCATGCATATCAAAAGTAGACAGCATCTCTATGTAGTTGCATCTGCAGCTTTGTGCAGATGTTTTGCATGATATCCCCATTCTTGTTTCTGTTTGCAGTGGGGCTGCAGAGAATCAGAGCAGATATCTCACTCTCTCTAGCTGATTCCTGGCCTCTCTTCTTCCTTTCAAAATAAAAGCAGGTGCCAGCGACACTGAAGCTCTGTGGACAGACCTATCCAGGAAAGATTGTGAGCAGGCCACACACATAACCAACAACCATTTCTTGCCACCCTTCCCACCTTATTTACTGGCTGCCCACTTCCTGCTAACCCTTTTCTGCTAAAAACTGCTTCATAGTACTAATTTGTTCCTTTCCCCCATTCTTCTATGATACCAATAGGTGAATATCTAGTTCATTGTTCTGCTGAACTGGAATATAAGAAAAAGGAGCAAGGTTGATTTTTATTTTTTACTTTTTTGCTCAGTCTAACCATTAGTAGCTACTCTAGCTCAGTTATCAATACACAGATCCAGTCTGTGCACTGCCATTAATCTGTAATCCCTCTGAGTAAAGATTCATGGAGAGCCCATTCCAATAGATCTCCTTTGTCTCAATATTTTGTAATCCCATGTGTGACAGTATGATTCTTTCTGTTTATAGCTGTATAAACAAAGGACTTTGAGCAATAAGTATGAGTCTCGCTCTCACACACCCTTTTCAACTCACCTTGTTTGGCAGAAAAAGTGTTTTGTTACCCAATGTGCAATATTTTTCCATGAATTTATCTCCACAGGGAAATGTTTGACATTGGATAGCAGTTATATACTCATAAGCTGCAACCTGGATGCCACTTGAAACAACTGTGAAGCGTTTTTCTTGAAAGGCCAACCCAAACAAAACAGGCTGTAGCTTAGGAAGCATGGAGGCCAAATTGCTGGACGGTTTGGTCCATTGCACATCACATCTGGGACCCTTCTTTCACTCTATTGCTGATGGATTTGTGCATTATACTATTCTGGGAATGGTGTGTTAATCTCATGACAAGCCTCAGCTGGTGGAGCTAATTGCTGGCTGAAGGTGCCACTTGAAACACACTTCTGCCAATGTGGCATCCTTTGTTAACTTTTCCAATCTGTGGAGAAGATGTAGCATTTTCAATAGTGCATTAAGGCATGGTTTTTGATGTTTTTAAAGTGTATCTGGAAAATTCTACTAGTAATAAATGCTATTCTAAAAGACATTGATCTGGAAAATGTGTGTATGTGTTTTAATTGGAGAGATGGTACCTCTCCTAAAATATATTCCTATGGCGAGTGTGTGAGAAAAAATGAGGACTCAGAGGATTTTCTTTTACACAATTCACCTCAAGCTCCCTGTCCTACATACCAGTGGAGGTGGTCAATGTGGGATGAAAGGCCTATAGAAACTGCAGCTGTTGGGCACGGCATTCTAGAACATTCTACAAATTCTAGAACAGCCAGCAGCTGCAATTTATGCACGCTTGAGATTTCCTCCTATGCTGGCTCCTATCCATGATTTTATTCTTTCCTTTTCTCAATGCTGAGGATGGCTGTGGAGAAGATCTACAAAAGCTAAATGCATTGACAAATACTGTGGCCCTGGTAAAAGGTGCAAGGTGCTCCAGCTCCTCACTAGCCGGTTTGTACTTGTTCACAACTGGCATGGGATGTAGGACTAATATTAAAAGAGTAATATTACATTCACAATATATCAACACTACAAATTTAACATTGGTTTTATTTTGTGGGCAGAATCCCATACAAAAAGTTCAACACATTCAAGAGGAATCAACCCACTCTTTTTCTGTCCTGTGGGCTGTCTTTCATGCAGTTGATTGTGTGACCGGTGATGTGCCTGATTTTGCAACAAATGGTCATATGGAGGATTGCCAGTCTTAGGGGTGGAAAGTGTGCATCTTTAGCCAATGCTTGACCTTTCCTCTTTCTTCTGTGAGTGCATAAACTAAGAAAATCCTGGTTTAAATTACTAATAATGGTTACAGTGTCTCAGGCATCAAAGTTTTATTTGGTGAGGGCCCTGAGAACACTGTTAAAGATTTTGAGCCCCTTATAGGACTACAATGCTTGGCGTTCCTTTAGGAAGGGAAATATCAAAAGATATGGTGTAGTGATGATCTCAGGAGCATTTCTCACAAATTCACTGCATAATTTTTGCAAATAAATGTAAAGATTATGTAGCCCATGGTCATAGGTCCAAGAAGTGTACTTGAAGGTACCATCGCAGGAAATTAAAACTGTCTAAATGTATTTCACTGGGAACCAAGCCATACATTCAATGTACTGGCATTATATACAGATATGTAGAGGGTTACCCAAGTGCAGGAATGATCCCAGACTTCAGGTATGGGAGGAGTTTTCTTTAACTCTTGATAGAGACTTTGTTATTATTATGGGGAGAAAGTAAGGGCCAGGAACGAGAGCCTCCATTGAACAAAATGTATTTACTGAATATAATATGAGTATAATAACTAGCTGGGATCTCTGTTAGAGTCTCCTCTGTGCTAATATTAAGCTGGCAGGAAGCAAGGTGTAAAACATTAAAATTATTTAAATGGCATACCTATCTCAGGTCACACTAGGCATCAGGCGGCTGTATATGGAGGGCTGCACTTGCCTAGCCATCACTGAGAAAGGGACAGGCAGCATCTGTGTTCATGAAATTGCTGCAGAGCATGTTGTTTCACCACCCAGACTTTATGTCATGTATTTCTTAGAGCCTTAAAGGAAGAGCGATTTCTTCTGCAGAATTGCAAAAGCTAGAAAGAGAAAGCTGTCCTGGTACTAATCACACTGCTTGAACTCTGCTGAAATTTTAGTGCCTGTGCACTCTCATCATTTTTTTAAAGAATAACAGTATTATAGTATTGCTTTGGAATAGCTTTAATGCAATGTTGTTGCAACGTTACATGGTATTTCATCAAGAGCTTCATGAAGGGCAATTCCTGAATTTAGTATCTGGTTAATATCAGGTTAAAGTGGGGGTGCTCCTTTTTCTAACATCTGTATCAAAATGGAGCAGTTGTGTAATGGCAAGCTAGAGTGAGGTTTTCTGAGGTCACGCATTCCCTTTAGCTGTATTAATGTCAAGCCAGTAGATGGCACTGATGAGGGCTCCTTTTTTAAAAAAATATATCAAGAAAAGGAAACCCACACCCTTGAGCACCACTGAACAGAGAGAGCAAGCACGTTTCTGGCACAGATCTACAGAGACTGTCATTTCTTTAATTAATCAGAAAACTCACTTGTACTTACACAGCAAATCAAAAGTAATGTGTGCAAAAGTAAGTTGTAATTAGCACACTCTGAGGGTCAATATATGCTGTTGGGATGATAAATTGTACAATCTTTTGATGTCTCTTTTCAAGAGTAAGCACTATACAACCCAAACAAACACATTTTCATGTAGGTTATGTTGTGAGCGTAAGATGTCCTGAAATGACATAACCTTGTATACCCTGACTGCTGCACAGATTCTATTTAGTCTGTATGCACAGCAAGGTCCTGAAGCAGATACACAGTACATATTTCTGGCACTTTGTACAACCGCTGCATGGTTGCACAGATGAAGATGGTCTGGTGATGGTGACTGAACACAGTGGTGTAACAGCTGAAACTTGTAAGGTTGCAGTTTTGATTCCCAGGGATAGTGGTGCTATGACTCCCCTCAGGCTTCTTTGTTGCCTCTGAGCTTAGCTACTGTCCTCAATAAAAGCCATTTATTGCAGTGACCTGCCCCTAGGGTTTTGAAATGGCTTGATCTTGACTGGGCAGTTAAGACCTGCTAGTTTTACAAACAGTTCCCGGGCAAAACGAAAATTCCTGGTTTGCTCATGTGGATCAACTCAGCTGCCTGAATGTTATTTTTACTCTCCATAGAAGCAGGACAATTGGGATTCTCATGAGCAACAACAGCACTTCAAAATGTATCACTGAACTTCTGCTTAATGGCCTGCTAGACATCACCAATATAATGACCAGGAAGTCAGGTGCAAACTAATGGTTGGTAAGAGGTATGCTAAAATAATCAATTTTATTCTTTTTGTCTTCTTTTCATCATCTTCTTCTTTCCATTAAGCATACCATGTCACTGTCCAAGACAGAAACTGTTATCCAATGCCCTACAATGTTGAGTTATACAATTTAAACATGCAGATCTTTCTAATCATGGAAGGGGTGATGTATGAGTGCTAGTGTATGTAACACAAAAGACTAACAATCCTATATTTAAATGATCAGATGTAAAATGCTCTGAGTTCATTGGATTCATCAGCAAACAAGTGTTTGTAGGATTGAAGCCTGTGTTACATTTTAGAGGTCCACAGGTTTGAACAGGTTGCCTTAGGCCAGTGGTCCCCAACCTTGGGCCTCCAGATGTTCCTGGACTACAACTCCCAGAAGCCTTCACCACCACCTCTGCTGGCCAGGATTTCTGGGAGTTGTAGTCCAAGAACATCTGGAGGCCCAAGGTTGGGGACCACTGCCCTAGGCAAGCCACACATTCTCTTTGTCTCTCTTACTTTCAATATTACCATCTGCAGTTTAGTGTGGATAACAACATTAACTTGTTTCATAAGATTTCCAGAAGGATGGCAGTGAGATTCTGCCTGTGAAGCACTCTGAGACACTAGAGAGCACTCAGCTGATCATGACAGTCCCA